AGAAAAGTGCCTAAACCCGACATTTAAAAAACAAGTTTTGAGCCCGGAGTCTGTCAGAACATGACTTTAAGTGCAAACAGAATAAATTACATCTGATGGAATATTAAAATGAACTGCTCACTGAGACTTAATCCCGAAAATCTATCGACAGGACTCCACGACTGAGGCATCAGCCCGTCAAAACACCTTTACCATCAAATCACGGTAGACTCGAGCGGACATCCAGGCCCTTGGTGGGATTCTGTCGTCTGTGGATTTCGTCACCAGCTGTTCGCGCCAGTCTGTTGCTTAAGATAGCCCTTTAAAACGCAGTGGTAGATATATATATATATATATATACACTACATAGTTTAAAATTCAGTAATTCTACATTTTTCCCTCTGAGAGTGTATTTATGGGTTTCACGTGACAATAGACAGAGATTATTTTTCTAAAAGGAATTAATCAGTTTATCTTTGTCGTGGAGACGCGTTGTTTTCTTTGCGGTAAGGTCTCAGTTTGTCTTCGAAGTGTTAAACCGCGCCCTCGGCTAGTGGAGCCGCGAGGTCGCGTAAACTAACCCAGTTAAATGACCGAGCTCTGCTACTGAACCCAAGACCTGATTCACATCAAGTCGCCAGGCAGGTTGTTACTGCAAATGGGCGTCACTTTTAATCTGCGTGTACCACTTCGAGCTCCGTGTATGATACCAACTACTCGAAGTTTGATCCGTCCGGGAATATCAATAGAAACATATTTTATCTTTTCATTTTAATTTTAAACGCATCTATTTTAGTATTATTCACTTTTACCAGTTCTCACTATCACGATAAACCAATAGTGAACAATCAACTTACTCCTAACGACAATGAAACCCGTTTAATTCCATATATCGTCTGTATTTACCGCTGTTTCTGTTTAATGTGCATAAACAATTTACTTTTGAGGTATAAATGTTGTAATAAGAACAGAAAAATACAACATTACATTCATGCAAAGTCTGGTAGAAGTTTGCCTACTTTCAGAGGTCCTTGCTATCTTCATGATGGAGGTAGCAGGTACTCTGAAACGTCGGTAAACTTGTACC